AAGGGCGGCAGCCGCAGAAGGAGGGTGGCCGCGCTCAGCTCCCGAGGGGCGGAGGGGACGCCAGAAGATCTCTCACGACGGTGCCGCCGCGGCAGCGGCAGGAGCAGCACCACCGGGAAGTCGAGGTGGAGGAGGAGAAGCAGGACCGTGACTCTCTTTCACTCTCGGTTGTTAGAACAACCCAGTCCCATGTGCAGTGCAGGCTGACGGTGTATACTGGCAAGCTTTAAGCTGAGAGGTACTGCGACAGATAAAAGCTGCAACGGCACAGGGCAGACTGTGGAGGAGGAAGGGGAGGAGGACCCTGACATCCGCCAGTCTGATTTTTCCTCAGCCCGCGGCCCCCCGGGCCCCCAGGAGGTCCTGACCGCGTCCCCGGTCCCGGGGGCAGTCGATCGTCCCAGCTCCGTCCTCCAAGGCGTTTCAGGCCGGTTCTAACAGCCCCCGAGGGCCGAAATCGGGAAGCAAAACGCTGGCTGAGAACCATAAGCAAGAACAAAACCACACAAAAAGAAAAACAAAACAGACAAATTCAACAAACAAAACAAACGAACAACTTGGCGTCGCTCGGACGTCCATTTCCCGTGCATTTTTCGGTTTCGTGCGTGTTTTTTTTGTTCGATGGTCCAGGATGGTCCTCGCCGAAAAAAAAAATGCACACGTCCGAGCGATGCCAAGACAAAGAAAAGGGGATCGGGAGGAGCGGGAGCGGAATCGGGCGCGGTGCCCCTCCGAGAGGCCGTGCTCTGCCGCGGCAGATGGCGGCGGCCCCCCCCCCCGAGGCGCCGCCAGCTTCCACCCCGGCGCAGAGGCCCTGAGTTGACGCGGCATTGCCCAAGGAGGCACCCTGGTGCGAGAAGCAGCAGGAGGAGAAGAAAGAGGATGAGGCGAGAAGAGAGAGGAGGAGGGGGGGCCCAAAATCATGAGCTAGGAAGTTGCGCGTGATATATATATATATATATGACGGTTGGCTCCTCAACAGGGTGAGCTCGCACAGTCATGGGTCTGTTGGAGGAATGGAGGGTGGTGGGAGGAGGACGAGGGGGGGGCAGAAGGGGATGAGGAGAGAGGGAAGGAGAGGGAGTGCTGGAGCGGATCGGATGATGAGGATGAAACGGTTGACAAGGAGGGGCAACGGGGGGGATAGCGTGGAAGGAGAAGTGATGGGGGAGGGGAGGGGAGGAGGGATGAGATAGGTAGAGGGGCACTATCCTGACTTATTCCAGCTTCGTTATCACCCCCCTTCCTCCATCCATGTATTCGGCATGAGAGCGGAAACGAACATGTGAATGTAAACGAATGCACACGACAACAATTAAAGCGAAACAAGAGCGGGAACACCAATGCGAACGGGATAAGAAGGGACCTGGAGCGGAAAAACTTGAGGGACCCACGAACCCGGTAAGGAAATTAAGTCGGCTAATCTGCTGTCTGACTTCTCTGGTGACGCCTTCATCTGTAAGGATGCCGCAGACGAGAGCCAAGCTATTGAAGGTACGTCGAATTGCGGAGCTTACTGAACATATTTTTTTCTGCAGCGAAACGCCCCTCCGCCACCCACCCACACCAAGTTCGATGTTCAACGTCCAAGCTCAACATCTCCATTTCCTGAGGATGTCTGATGCGAAACCTTCATTTTTTAGAACCAACGTCGTGAAACAACTCCTCCAACAGCCCGATGGTGCGAGGATTACTCAGGCGAAACGCCCCACACACACACACACACACACACACACTCACACACACACCACGACGTGTTGAAAATTCAATGCCCGATCTCCCACAGATCAGTCTTCTGGGGATGCCTGATGCGACAGCTTCGCTCTTGAGAACCAACATTATAAAAACAACTCCTCCAACATCTCCGTTGTGTGAGGATGTCTCAGGCGAAACGCTCCCGACATACCGCATTGAATGTCCGACACCCGATATCCAACATCTCAGTTTTCGGAGGATGTCTTGACATCCATTTTGAAAACTAACGTCGAACACACAACTCCTCCAACATCCCTATGCTGTTAGGATGTCTCAGGCGAAACGCTCCCCCCACACCGTGTCGGATATCCGACGCCAGATCTCCAACACCTCAATTATCTGAAAACGTCTCAGACGAGCGCTTCAGTGTTGAGAACCAACGTCGTAAAGCAACTCCTCCAGCATTTCCATATTGTGAAGATGTCTCAGGCGAAACGCCACCCTCACACCAAGTTTGATATCCGACACCCGATTTCCAGCATCTCAATTGCCTGGGGACGTCTTTAGCAAACTCTGTGTTTGTGAAAAGAACGTCGTGCAACAGCTCCTCCAAAATCCCCATGTTGTGAAGATGTCTCAGGCGAAACGCTCCTCCCACACCATGTTGGATATCCGACGTCTGATCTCCAGCATCTCAATTTTCTGCCGATTTGCCATGTTGAAAACCAACGTCGCAGTCCAGCTCCTCCAGTATGCCCCTTGTGCGAGGATGTCTCACACCCGACGCCCCCGTGGACACGTTGAAACACGTGTCCCGCGCGCACGCCCTCCTCCGCGCACGTACTTGCTCGAGTGAAGCACCCCACGTTTCTGATCTGCGCCCCCGCCGGAGGCCACGCTGGCGCCAAACACACGTGAGAGTAGCGCGCGCTGGAGACCCCCCGTTCCGCGCACGTGCCTCTCGCGAGCCCAGGTACGACGCCGCCTGCTCGACCCACGCCCAGCACAGGGCCGAGGAGGCCCGCGCACCGATGGGAGCGCCCTGGGCCGAGGCCCTCGGCGGGAAGGGCGAGAGCGGAACGATGAGCTGGTTGAGAGCGGACAACCAAAGTGAGAGCGGAACCAGCCCCAGAACAATCACCCTGGCGGCGTTCCCGCCCCCTGCGCCATGCGGGGCACGAGCAGCCTGGGGTGCGTTCCACGGGGTTGATGGCGCGACATGGGCGCATACACTTCTGCGAGCGGCACTCGTGAGGCTCGCAGCCCCCCAAGGATTGCGAGGTCCCGCTCAGATCTGCGTGCCGCCTCACTCCGCTGGACCCGCCACCAGCCTCCGAAAGTAGCGACGGTTTCGCAGATCGCAGCCCCCCAAGGACGACGAGGTCCCGCTCAGATCTGCGCGGTGCCTCACTCCGCTGGACCCACTAGCAGCCCTCGAAAGTGGTGACAGTTTCGCAGATCACTATTCTGGCCCCCCAAGCAGCCCTCGAAAGTAGCAACGGTTTCGCAGATCGCAGCCCCCCAAGGACGACGAGGTCCCGCTCAAATCTGCGCGGTGCCTCACTCCGCTGGACCCACTAGCAGCCCTCGAAAGTGGTGACTGTTTCGCAAATCACTATGCTGGCCCCCCAAGCAGCCCTCGAAATTGGCGGCAATTTCGCAGATCGCAGCCCCCCAGGATCGCAGCCTCCCAGGGACGGCGAGGTCCCGCTCAGATCTGCGCAGTGCCTCACTCCGCTGGACCCACCAGCAGCCCTCGAAAATGGCGACGGTTTCGCAAATCGCAGCCCCCCCGAGGTCGGCGAGGTCCAGCTCAGATCTGCGCAGTGCCTCACTCCGCTGGACCCACCAGCAGCCCTCGAAAACGGCGACAATTTCCCATATTGCAGCCCCCCAGGGACGGCGAGGTCCCGCTCAGATCTGCGCGGTGCCTCACTCCGCTGGACCCACCTTCAGCCCTCGAAATTGGCGACAATTTCGCAGATCGCAGCCCCCCAGGGATGGCGAGGTCCCGCTCAGATCTGCGCGGTGCCTCACTCCGCTGGGCCAACCAGCAGCCCTCGAAAGTGGCGACAGCTTCCCAGATCGCAGCCCCCCCCAAGGTCGGCGAGGTCCAGCTCAGATCTGCGCGATGCCTCAGTCCGCTGGACCCACCAGCAGCCCTCGAAAATGGCGACAGTGCCGCAGATCGCAGCCCCCATCGACGGCGAAGAGAGGGCAGGAGGACGCGGGAGGCGGGAGGAAGGAAGGATGGAAGGACGCGCGAGCAGTGCTCTATTCAAAACGAATGCCCAACCAAGGAGGGTTGGGGAAAATGCTAGGGGAGGGAGAGCGGGCAAGAGAGATGAGAGTGGAACAGCGCATGAGAGGTGGAGGATATCGGAAAAGGACAGGCGAGAGCGGACAGAAAAAGGAGAGTGGAGTCTGAGGGCAGCCATGTTTTTGCGACGGATTCCGGGGCAAGGGTGGAAAGGGGCCGCTGCATTTCTGCGACGGAATCAGTGGCAACGAGAAGACTAAACGCGGAGAAAGCATGATAGCGGAATGATAGCGGAAAGAAAAATGATAGCAAGATGAGAGCAACAACTACATGATAACTGAACAAAACATGAGATCGCATGATAGCCCACTGATAAAACAAACGATAGCGGACTGATAGCGGAGCAACTATAAGGAGAGCATAACAAACAATGAGAGCGGAGTTAGAGAGGAAGAGAACATGAGAGTAGATAACAAACTGAGAGCGGAACACAGAATGAGAGTGGGGGGAGAGCGGACGAAAACCTGAGAACGGAATGAGAGCGGAGAGAAAAATGAGACCAGAAGCAACACACGAGAGCGGAATGCGAGCAGAAGACGGCCACCTGGAGAAGCTTGATGGACCCACGAAACGGGCATTCAAATCAAGTCAAACAATTTGCTGTCACACTTCTCTGGTGACGCCTCCATTTGCGAGGCTGTCTCGGACGAGAGCCACGCTCTTGAAGGTACGTCGAATTCGGGAGTTCACTGAACACTTCCTTTTTTCTGAAGATGTCTGCAGCGAGACACCCACCCCACCCCGCCCACACCAAGTTTGATACCCAACGCCCAAGCTCAACATCTCAATGTTCGGAGGATGTCTCATGCGAAAACTTCACTTGTGAGAACCAACGTCGTAAAAGAACTCTTCCAGCATCCCTACGTTTGTGCACATGTCTTGGGCGAAACGCTCCTCCCACACCATGCTGAATATTCGTCCGACGTGTGATCTCCACCATCTAATGTGTCTGAGGATGCCTCAGGCGAAATCTTCATGTTTGAGAACCAACGTCGATCCCCGTTTTGTGAGGGTGTCTTAGGCGAAACGCTCTCCACCACACCATATTGAATATCCGAGGACGTCTCATGTGAAGCCATAATGATTGATACTCCACGTCGTAAACCAAACCCTCCGACATCCCCGTTCTGTGAGAACATCTCTAGCGAAACACTCCCGCCCGCACAATGTCGGATATCCGACGCCAGATCTCGAACATGTCAATTGTCTGAGAACGTCTCAGGCGAACGCTTCAGTTTTGAGAACCAATGTCGTCAAACAACTCCTCCAACATCCCGACGTTGGGATGTCTCAGGCGAAACGCCCACGCCCCACCCACCCCTTCCCACACACATTCACACACTGTTGGACATCTGACGTCTGATCTACAGCATCTCCTTTTCTGAAGATGCCTCATGCGAAGCCTTCACGCTTGACAACCAACGTCTTAAACGTCGCAAGGCGCAGCCAATCAACTAACCAGCCAGCCAGCAAACCAGAAACCAACCAGCCCGCCAGCCAACCAGCCAGCCAGCAACCAGCCAGCCAGCCGACCAGCCAACCAGCCAGAAGCCGACCAGTCAGCCAGCCAGCCAGCCAGCCAGACGACCAGTCAACCAACCAGCCAGCCACCAGCCAGCCAACAAGCCAGAAGCCAACCAGCAGCCAGTCAGCCAGCCAACCGACCAACCAGCCGACCAGCCAGCTAACCAGCCAGCCAACCATCATCTAACATCATCCAAGCAGCCAGCCAGCCGGAAGCAAACCAGAAGCCAACGAGAAGCCAACCAGCCAGCAAGCCGACCAGTCAGCCAGCCAGCCAGCCAACCAGCCAGCCAACCAGTCAGCCAACTAGCCAACCAGCCAAGAACAAACCAAAAGCCTACCGGAAGCCAACCAGCCATCCAGCCGACAAGCCAGCCAACCGGCCAGCCAACCAGCAGCCAGCCAGCAAACCAGCCAGACGCCAACCAGAAGCCACCCGGAAGCCAACCAGCCAGCCAGCCAACCAGCCAGCCAGCCAGCCTGCCAGCAGCCAGACAGCCAACCAGCCAGCCGACCAGTCTGCTAACCAGAAGCCAACCAGCAGCCAGCAAGCCAACCAGCCAGCCAGCCAGCCAATCTGCCAGCCAGCCGACCAGCCAGCCAACAAGCCAGCCAGCCAGCAGCCAAACCAGCCAACCTGCCAGAAGCCGACCAGAAGCCAACCTGCCAGCCAGCCAACCTGCCAGCCAGCCGCCTGGCAAGCCGATCAGAAGCCAACCAGAAGCCAACCAGCCAGCCAGCCAACCAGCCAGCCAGCCGACCAGCCAGCCAACAAGCCAGCCAACCGACCAGCAGCCAGCCAGCCAGCCAGCCTGCCTGCCAGCAGCCAGCCAGCCAACCAGTCAGCCAGCCAGCCAGCCAGCAGCCAGCCAGCCAACCAGCCAGCCAACCAGCCAGCCAACCAGCAAGCCAACCAGTCAGCCAACCAGCAGCGAAACCAGCCAACCAGCCAGAAGCCGATCAGAAGCCAATCAGAAGCCAACCAGCCAGCCAGCAAACCAGCCAGCAAGCCGACCAGCCAGCCAACCAGCCAGCCAACCGACCAGCAGTCAGCCAGCCAACCAGCCAGAAGCAACCTAGAAGTTAACCAGGCAGCCAGCCGACCAGCAGCAAAACCAGCCAGCCAACCAGCAGCCAGCCAGCCAACCAGCCAGAAGCCAACCAGGAACCAACCAGCCAGCCGACCAAGCAGCCAACCGACCAGCCAGCCAACGAGCCAGCCAAGCGGCCGCCAGCCAGCCCAAAACAAGAAGCCAACCAGAAGCCAACCAGTCAGCCAGCCAACCAGCCAGCCGACCAGCCTGCCAACCAGAAGCCAACCAGCAGCCAGCAAACCAACCAGCCAGAAGCCAACCAGAAGCCAACCAGAAGACAACAAGAAGCCAACGAGCCAGCCAGCCAACAGCCAGCCAACCAGCCAGCCAGCCAGCCAGCCAGCCTGCCAGCCAACCAGCCAGCCAAGCCGTCAGCCAGACAGCCAGCCAGCCAGCCAGCCTGCCTGCCAGCAGCCAGCCAGCCAACCAGTCAGCCAGCCAGCCAACAGCCAGCCAGTCAACCAGCCAGCCAACCAGCCAGCCAGCCAACCAGCCAGCCAGCCAACCAGCCAGCCAGCCAACCAGCCAACCAGCCAGCCAACCAGCCAATCAGCCAACCAGCCAACCAGCTAGCCAGCCAACCAGCCAATCAGCAAACCAGCCAACCAGCTAGCCAGCCAACAGCCAGCGAGCCAGCCAGCAGCCAGCGAGCCAGCCAGCAGCAAGCGAGCCTACCAGGAACCCGCCAGCCAAGTTACACGGATGTTGGCCGCATTTCCAACCAGAACCAAGCACAAACCAACCGAGGTCGGCTTTGCACCGAGTAAGAGCTTCTCGTTGACTTCTGGTTGGTTCTGGTTGTGACATGCGGCCCAGCCGCATATTTTACACAGGTTTCGGACGCATCTCCCAACCAGCACTTACACGACGGTGCAAAGCCACATCACACGCTGTAAAACCTCCCGTGCAATGCCGACACCAAAACCGCTCGTCACCTTTCCGGCAACGGGCCGGAAGGCCCGCGCACTGAGAGCCCTGAGCCCGAGCCCTTCCCGGGAGTTCCCATGCCGCCGGGAAAAAAAAACTTGCAGGAGGACGACGGCACGGGAAGCTTGACGGCGACGACGATGCCCACGAGCAGGCCAGGATGCTGATGTGTTAATCCTCGCCAGCGGCTCTGTGGCGTGATGCCCCCCCCAATCGTTTTGAATCGCCAGCCCGCATGAGGAGACACCTGCTGCCTCCTCCTCCTCCTCCTCCTCCTCCTCCTCCTCCTCCTCCTCCTCCTCCTCCTCCTCCTGGTGCTCCTCCTCCTCCTCTTTTTCTTCCTCCTCCTCCTCCTCCTCCTCCTCCTCCTCCTCTTCCTCCTGCTCCTCGTCCTACTCCTGACATGTCCCCGCGGGTGCGCTCAGACTGGGAGTTCATATGGAATCCAGCCGTGGCGATACCGGTGTCGGCAGGCTCGCCGAGATCGCCGCGGCTCGGGCCGCGGCGGGCGGGGCAGGGCGACGGGGCGGGGCGGGTGGCTCGGGGGAGCGCGGTCGCTCGAGATGGGCAGCGCGGAGGGCAAGGCGAAGGAGGCAGCAGGCAGGAGGAGGACGAGGTCATTCCTCACAAGAGCAGGCGCAGTCGCAACGACCCCAGGCCCGACGAACCCCCGACCGACTTCGAACAGGCAAGCCCGAGAGCTCATGAAATTTAGCAGGAGGAGGGGGAGGAGAAGGAGGAGGAGGAAGAGGAGGAAGAGGATGAGGAGGAGGAGAGGGAGGAGGAGGGGAGGAAAGAGGAGGAGAAGAAGAGGGAGGAGGAGAGATAAGGAAGAGTGAGTAGGGGAGAGACGGGACAAACGAAACACCAGTCTGGAGCAGCGCGCCAGCCAAGCTGCCATGCGCGAGCTCTTGCATGGGCAATGTGGCAAGACTGCGTCTTTGCACGTAGAGGGCATCGCGCAGCAAAACCCAGCGACGGCGAAAAAACCCTTGCGGGATTCGTGTAGGTGGTGGTAGCGCATGCAACCACCGCCACGAAACTCGTGGGCAGGCCAATGGATCGATGATGCCAGAAAGTCGAAAACGGTTAAGGCTGGGGCGCGAGGGCAGCCTGATACACCCCAGCTTCGGTGAGATCGCACGCAAATGCGACCACGAGGATGAATGAGGGGAGTTCCTCCTCTTCCTCCTTTTTCTCCTCCTCCTCCTCCTCCTCCTCCTCCTCCTCCTCCTCCTCCTCCTCCTCCTCCTCCTTTTTCTCCTCCTACTCCTCCTGCTCCTCCTCCTCCTCCTCCTCCTCCTTGTTTTCCTCCTCCCTTTGTTTCCTAGCGAGCGCCCTTCTTCAAGTTGCCACGTGCGCACATCAGTTCAGCAGCCCTGTCAAGCGCCAAAAAAACTTCCATCTGAAATTCTGAATGCGCATCCGGAAAATGTGCATAATGATATCCTGCCATACGTCTGTGGATCATCCCGTCTCGTTCGCTCCACGCCACCATTTGGATTCCGTAGGCACCGCCTGTGGTTGTATACCCGCCATCTGTGAAAACATGCACCGCGCCTTTCTTTATCAACACGAACGGTGACAAACATCTGCTGGAGCAGGTCGGGAGTCAGCGTGCTTCCGGATGTCTCCTCTGCCGGCGCTTAATTTGCCAAATAATCTGCGCCAACATTCCACTCCCTTGGCCTCCAATCGACTGGGCCCGTAAAAACGGCATCGTGGGACCACTGAATGGTGTACAACTTGGCCAGTCCGTTGCGTATGCGACGGACGCACGGGTCAGACATGGGGTTGTGCACGGCCAGCGTGGCGTTGGCAAGACCCGCCACGCATTGCTTGTCCACAACGAACTCAAAGTTCACGGATCCAGCACAACGGTTGCAGAACAATTTGCCGCGATTCAGCTCCAGCGGCAGCGGGACGTCCTCTAACCTGTAACTCTCCGTCGCGTCGTTGGCCGTCGCCTCGTTCGGCGTCCTCGCCACCCTGGTGTAAGAGGCTGGCGGCGGTAGGAGTCCAAGTGCGGCGCATGCACGTATAATAAGATCCATCAGGGAAGGGACCCAATCGGATCTCGTAGCACATGAATCGAAAGTGGATATCCAGTACAAGCCCGTCGCTTGTACCATAAATTCGTCCACATGTGTCTGGTGTCCTCCTCGGGCGTGCGTCATGTCTTCATGCTTCTGTTTCCGGGAGTTTGTCAATGCCTTCGCAGATTTCCACCATTTTGCGTCTCTCTCCCACCGAATCTTACCAGCGGGGGCTCCGTAAGCACGTTCGTGCCACATGTACGCATGGTAGCGCTCCAGAATGACAATATGTATCGGCTTGAATCAACAATGGTTGTACCACCGCTCGAGCTTACGAGCCGTCCTCTGATTGTACTGCATTCGGCTTCCCGCAGGCCCCGCCGATCGCATGCGAAACACTCTGCGGAGATGCCTCCGTTCCCACCTGACCGTGTTCATGAGCAAGGTGCGATTCCAATGCGCGGTTTGACAAATAATGCCGTCGCGCGAGGTCGGGTTGCCCACGCGCGTAGCTTCAGACTGACTGGAGCTTTGCCGATCAAATGCCGGCGAAACTTGTAAAACGACTTGTCACCTTTCGCAACGCGGTGCTGCAGCAACGCCTCGTCTGGCTGCGTTTTAGAAAGCAACCCTCCCAGCGCAACCATCGAATCCACGACGCAATACTCGTAGGTGATGTCGCCCACCTCGACGCTAATCTGGGCCTCCGGGCAATCCATGTTCGCAGCGACGATATCCGAAGAATCGCCCTTCCAATACCACCCATACCAACGATACAATATCTCGGACAAGGTCCGAGCCATGTATTTGTATTGCTACACGTCTGCTGCCAGAAAGAAACAATTGTCCACCCAAACGGCTGGCCTGATCGTTACGCTGGACTCTTGCAACACACACCCCAATCCAAGGACACTCCATTCTTTTTCAATCCAATCCACGACCTCGTCAAACACGCGCACGAATATATCTGGCTCGCGTCGTCCCCCCGTTTTCAAAACCTTCGTCATGGGAATACTGTCGATTGTAGCTACTCCCGGTATGTCTAAAACAAGACTTGATGATGACATGTCCCGTGCCAGTGCCAGAACATGGTGGGGCTTCGCCCCTGCATCTCGCAACACCCTTGTCGCATCCACGTGTTCCACAGAGTCAAAGCGGTACGTATATCCTGAGCTCCCAATGCCAGTTCTCGACCCCACGTAACTGAGAAACACAAAGCCTCGAATAACATACCGAAGCAGTCCTCGACTGATGGTCCCCTCTTGTACACAAAACTCGTAGCCATAGGCAGGGGCCGCATCAAGGGCGTCATAGCACTGTAGACTGTTGCGGGAAACTGTTTACTGAGTTGGTCCATCATCCCCAACCATCGGTAGCGAGAGAAGCTGCGCGGTTGTGGTTCCTTGGCGATGCCGAGCAATTCGAAGTGGCTCCACATGTTTTTGTTTGGAAGCTGCCAGTCAATGTCCCGAATGCGTTCAATGAAATGCTCGTGAACTTTGATCTTCCAGCGATGTGGCTAATGGCGCCATACACTGCCTGGCACCTGTTCTCGTCCTGGCTTGGAGTGGTCCCAGATGAGCGTCAGCTGGTGCATGAAATCATCAACTGCCGGCAGCCCCAAACTCATATTGTCTAAAACCTGGGACTTGGCCTCCGCCCGCACCGACTCGACAAGAAGATCAAATGAGCGTTTGTGAGATGAGTCTGCAGTGAACTTATTCATAGCGATGTTAGTTAGAGCTTCCTTCCACATGCCTCTGTTTGCAGAAGTCCCCCCGTCGACATTTAATACGACTGGCGGGGATGCATCAAATACTTTGTCGCCACGGGCCAGCCGTTCCAATACCATTATGTTGTGCTTTCGTCTGCCGAATCGAGGGTCAGCAGTACCAGCTCCTCGATGTTGTATCTTTCGTACTTTACGTTCTTGCACAACCTGCTCGGTAGCTGCAGTGTTCTCGTCGATCCACGCGATCTCGTTCAGGCTGACAGGCCCCAGCCGAACTGTGTCAATTGCAGCCTGCTGCTCTTTATGCACCAAGTCCCCCAAAGTATCATCAGCAGTTGAGTTCATTTGTACACGTTTCCAGAAAGAGACCCGCTCCGAGAGACAATCGGGTCGCCATGTTCTAAATAATTTGCTGCCTTCGGTATCGTCTGGTGCTTCAGCTCTTGTAGACTGCAACGATACGTCGAAAACGTTCACAATAGGTAGATGATCTGATTTACGCAACTCGCTGGCTATATCGTCCACTCCGTGATCAACATAAGCCTGGGCCTGCACGAAATCTGAAGTACAAACAACATCTATCTGAGATTTCGTCCTTGAGCTCCTGCCGAGTTTGGCGAAGAGCTGATCGTGCAACAATCTGCGCGACAGCGTGTTATCTGCCTTCACACCTGCATTGGTCAAGAATCTTCCAAGGCATGCCGAATTCTGCCAACGATACGAAGGAAGTGGTCTGGCACAATATGCTCCAAATGTGCCTTCGGAGGAGGTGCTAATCCGAGCAGACGTGTTTGCATCGACACCAATAACGACAATCGGCCTCATCCCTGGCATCCGGACCACATGTTCAGCGAGATTGATTGCGCCCAAAGTACGGTCTAAAACCTCACTGCACATAATACGATCTTCGGAATCATCCAGAACATGCACAGATACTACTATAACATGTCGAACTGCCACAAGACTGAAATAACTTTCATGCGTTTCCCATAAGATGTCCTGCGAGAGCGTCGACGGCATGAGTATACCACAATCCCTGCCCACCACCGTCCGCACTGACAGGCCAGAGGAGCTGATGCACCCCCAGCGAGGGACCTCCTGCAAGGCAGCAAAGGATGAAACACCATATCATGTCTTGAAATCCTTCAGCACGTGTGTTGCTCTTGTTAAAGGCAGCTTTTGAACGCTCCATGAAACCAGATGAATTCTCGTACCCTCGCCGTCACCCGAAAAACGTTCCGCGCCTGAAGCTCCGGAACGACGGTGATGTGTGCTCGATCGGATACGTCTCAAAGTTTCTTTCAGGTCGTCAAGGCGTTTTTGCGAAGGCGCTATGCGTTTAGGTATTCGTCTCTCGATCATGTTCTGGAGGTCTGTGCGAAGTACTTCTGTCAACTGCACGTCCAGTCCGCTCTCTTCAACTACTGCTGCTAACGTGGCCTCCATCTCCCTCATGACTGCTTGCTGCATCGACTCGTCCCCCGCAGCCCCGGCCACGTCGCCAGAGTCCAGACAGGGAGAAGCTCTAACTAGAAATCCAGACGCATGATGCAGAAGCAGTGCGGTGAGAGAACATGGTGGGTACTATAGCGGCCCTGACCGTGCTCCCCCTCTCCTCCTCCTCCTCCTCCTCCTCCTCCTCCTCCTCCTCCTCCTCCTCCCTCCTCCTCCATCTCCTCCGCCTCCTCCTCTTTGTTCTTCTCCTCCCTCCTCCTCCTCCTCCTCCTCCTCCTCCTCCTCCTTCCTCCTCCTTCCTTGTTTTCCAACTCCACCACCTCCTCCTCCTCCTCCTCCTCCTCCTCCTCCTCCTCCTCCTCCTCCTCCTCCTCCTCTCTCTTTTCCTCCGTCTCTCGCCCTCCCAGGTGCGTGTGCGTGGGGGGAGGGGGGGCCCGCGCCCTTTGCAGGAAAAAACGGCCCCGCCGGCGCTCGGCCCGAAGGCCACCGGAAGGCCGCGCGGCGCGGAGCATCGCCCGAACCCCTGCGACGGCGGGCGGCCAGGCAGAGGCGCACCCGCGCCGCGGGCCCTCCGCGGCGCGGGTGTGCTCCGCCGCGAAGGGGGGCAGGAGGACTGACGCCTCGAGCGCTGGCTCCCGCGGCCTGGTCAAGAGGAGGAGGAGGAGGAGTAGGAGGAGGAGGTGGCTTCCCTTCGGGGGTCGTCCTCTCACACTTAGGTCGGACCTGTCCTCCTACAGGCGGATTTTGAACGAAACTTTGAAAATACTCCAACAACAAATCAAAAAGAGTCAAACAAAAAAAGTACTAAAAATTCTTCCACTGACTATGTTTTCGATTATTTGTTAATATATATATTCCTCCTGTAGAGGGACATGCCCGACTTAATCTCACACTGGAACGAGACGGAGAAGGGTGGCACGGCCCCTGCGCAAGGACGCCACGCACACAGTATCGAGAGAGGTGCGCACGGTGTTGAGAGACCGCAGTGCACCAGGAGGAAGAGGAGGATCCTGAATCGGGATCCGCCGTACTTTGGGCGAGTTCGTGAATATGCGAAAAAATCGCGCCAAACATTTCAATCTCCCTTGATGCCGATTTCTGCCCTACTTTTCCGTTGCTGTTCCCGCCACACTCCTGAGTACATAGCCGTCTTACCTTTCCGAGGCGAAGTTTCCGCCCTACTTTTTCGCATCGTTCGGGGCTCATTTTCCACACGATTGTAAATAGGAGATCAGCCCAAATACGGCGGACCCGGCGTCGGGGTTCCTCTCGGCGCTTGGAAAAGTCTCCTCGATCCATCGAGCTCGGAACAACGCACGGGCAGACCTGCGGGATAGGTAGACCCGTGCAAAAGGCACTGGCGTACGAGAACGGACAACCATGCAGTGGAGAAGCTTGGCACGCCAACCTGTGCCCCGACCGGGCAATTGTGTAGAAACGCGCACATAGGCAACGGGCGTAATCCGCCACCGTACCTTGAACACGTGGCCGATTCCAGAAAAGTTGACATCTCTTGGGAGGTCGACTTTTGCTTCCGCCAGCCTTCCGCCAGCTTCCGCGGGCGGAGCTGCCGCCGTTTTACTTCCGCCGCCTTCCGCCGCGGAAGAGATGACAACTCCTTCTAGGGAACCGAACCTTCTACACCGACGTTTTTTTCCGGGCCTGCTGCGGAATGGCGGAGCCCCTGGATTCCCTTTCTTGAGCCAAACGGTTTCGGTAACAACAATCTCAGCTCGAAACCTGTGAAACCCTGCAGCCCTCTTCGAGGCCGCTGCGCACGCTGGCGGGCTCGTCAGCCCACCATCTCAAATTACATCAGTAATTACAACAGTGCTAGTCGAAACCCGTTCGGTTCCGTCTCGTGCAAAGAAACAGCCATGGCAAAGGAAACCTTCATTCACGTGATATCGGCCTCTATCTCGTTCTCTCTCTCTCTCTCTTTCTCTCTCTCTCTCGCGCGTTACGACCTCGGGAGGTGATCAATCTCCGTCGTATATCTTCTGAACAAGCCAGCATTGCTCAACACAGACGGTATCTCGTACTGGTTGTCCAGGGTGCGTGCACTCACTGAAACCAAGCTCCCCAATCTTGAGTACCCAACGGCGTATACCGACCATCTGCCTCATCATGTAGCTTGCTCCTGCTCTTGTAGGTCACTGGCCCTTGGACCTCAACTGACCTCATCTTCTTGAACTGCACCTCTGTCTCTGGCGAAGCGTCTCTCCTGTGTCGCCTCGACGGTGATCGTTCATCTGACCCTGACCTCGGGTCCTGAAGGTTACACCTCGGGCCCTGAAGGAACCCACAACCCTCTTCGTTTCGTACATGTTGAAATGGCGCGGACCACAACCCAAAGGCACCTCGTGTCTCTAAAGATTGACCCACAATCCTGTCCTGTTTCGCCTTTACCACAAACACGTAGTAACTGAAAACCACTGCCACAATCGTAACCACCAAGTGTGCAACGAAACTCCACCAGTTGAGCTCGCTCTTCATGTTCACATTGATTATGGAACCATCCTCGTAGTAGTAGTCGTCTGTCGCCTCCGCTCCCGAAATGACCGCCATGACCGCCAAAACCTTCGTGGGCACCTCTGGGCCCTTGAAACTCGTCGCCTTGATTGCAAACCCAGCGTCTTCATGTGTCTCCTGAGCGTGTCCTTGTCCATCGGCTTCGTTCCTATGTCCGCCACCTGGTCCTTCGTATTGACCTTCACCGCGCCCATGTCTCCGTCTCGTACCAGATCTTGATGCCAGATCCACCGCGTCTGTGGATGTCGTACTCGTCCTACTCCGTGTCTGTGGACCATGCCCTTCGCCGCTGCTGAGTCCGTCTCCAACTCCACAGTGATCTGAACCTCCTCGTTCCTCATCTGGGCCATTTCCTGCAACGCATGCTTGATGGTGAGACCTCTGGCTGCGCCCGAACCCATCGCGTAGAACTCCGACCCCCCACTTGAGAGCGCCACCGTCGCCTGAGATAGTACCCAGCTCTCCAGTAGATGAGCTCCCAATCGAACTCCACCTGATGAGATACTCTTGCATGTCGCCTCCTGTCCAGCCCAGTCCGCATCCACCGACGCCGTCACCTTGAACGTCTCCTGCTGATACGGGTAGAATATCACGATGTCGGCCGTGCCCTTCAGATACCTGACCAGACGCTCCTGCTTGAGTATGTGCCTCACCCGCGGGTCGTTGCACGAACAACTCTGATCTCGAACTGCTTCTTGGATATCCCAACGATCCCCAGCCATATACTGTGCGATGCCACCGCAAATCCTGTACAACGTAGAGTTCTGTCGTCCTACTCGGTCTTCAGCTTCTCGAACTCCCTTGGCAGTGTGCTTCGAACTCGGTGTCTCTGCCGGCTTGGCCTGCTTCAGCTCGTACAACTCCACCATCTTCAAGACCAGCTTCGGGCCTGGTAGAATGCCGAAGCCCTCCTCGCCCCAGAGCACCGTCCTGTTGAGAGAAGTACCTTCAGCTGCTCCTCCTGGCCCCACTCTCGGTTGAGGCTTGACCTTGAACCTGTTGGCCATGAGCTTGTCGAACTCATCCAGCTCCTCGTCGTACGCCTCCACCACCAAGTCATCTCCATGTCCAGCACAGAGTGAGTCCTTGCCAGGATGGTAGTACAGGCAGCACACCGTCTTCAACTCCTCGCACCCGTTCTGGCTAAAATTATCTCGAACTTCTCCTTGAAATAACATCGACGCCTCCGGCGTCCCATACATCGCCTTCTGCAACTTCCAAAGCATCCCTGGTCGTCGCTGTTCAGGTGGTGGCCAGCAGTACTGGGGCTCTTTCAGCGACGCGTGAAAGAACGCCACTGAGATGTCGTATAGACCAAGCTTCTTCCTCCTCGACTCGGTCGTCCTCGTTGAAGCTGCTCTCGAAACCACCAGCTTAACTACCCATAGTGCGGGTGTCCCTGCGAAATTCGAGGGGTCGGTTCCGTCGCTATACCTTCTGTGAACACATCGGCTCCTCACGATCCACTCGTTGTTCTGTAAGTCGTACTTCTTGCTGTCGATCCACTTGGTGTCGAACGGCTTCGTCCAGACTTCAAGCGGTACCCACTCAAAGACCTCAAACTCCTCCATGCTCTTCATCTCCTTCGTCCTGCCGTTGATGACCAGCTCCTTCAACAACTCCTCGCCTGTGTACGCGTCCCTGTAGACTCCGTCACCCACCAGCTTGTCGTAGTTCACCCTCGGCTCCAACTCCTCGCAGACGTGGCGGTCCTCATCCTTCGTGATCGACATGATGATGCCTATCTCCATCGCCTCTTCCCGTCCTGGCGTAGTAGGTGCCACATCTCCTCCAGCTACGATCGCGTTACCCGTCATATCCGCGTCCTGCTCGATCTGTAGCTCCCGTCCGAAGTGCTGACCAACCGGTGTACCTGGAGCTCGCTGACCTGCTTCTTCAAGTCGTGGTTCTGCTACTCCCCCGCTTTCTGGTGGTGGCCGTGCTGCAGGAACTACCGCTGGTGCTGCTGCAGGTTGCGCTTGTCCTGGTTGATCTCCTGCTGCCATCTCGATCCTCGGCTCGGCCTCCTCGAAGATCTTGGCGAACCTCGTCCTGCACCTCGCGTTGTGTATTGATGCGTTCCCTTCGCATGCTGCACACCCATCTGTAGGTCCATGCTCCTCGATCAGCGCCGTCGTGATGTACTTCCGTCCCCTGACCACCTCATTCTGATCCTTCACCTCCAAACCCCTGGGATTCCACGGCACTCCTATGAACGTGTTGCAGACCTCCTTGTTGTACTTGTCCCCCGTGGCCCTGAGCTTCATCGTCCTGGCGTGCTCGATCCCCCTCGACGTACCTACGATGATTTCGTCGCTCTCGTCGCGCCTGCCCAAGAAGATACCTTCGCCCCGCCTCGGTTCCAGCTTGGAGTAGTCCTTAGCCTGTATCTCGTAGTCGATCGCCTGTCCGATCTTCCCGAGCTCCGACTTGAACTTCGCACGTCCCCGTCGTTCCCAAGCTGTCCTGCCATCCGTCTTAGTAGCGAACCTGGTGAGCAAGTAGCTTACGTGCCTGACCAACCACGGCATGATTAAACTCTTGGGTCCGATCTTCACCTCCAACTTCGCCTCCAGCTCGCTGCGTAGTGTACGTAGGAACGACTCCATCTCTCCACCGCGTTCTCGATCGCACCATTGCTCTGATGAGGACCTTTAGGGGCCTTCTCCACCTGCGTGCTGTGCTTCCTCCTGTTCTTCACCGCCGTGATCACCGCTTGTAGCGATGGCTCCTGATCGCCCTTCAGGATGATATCCGCTGCTCCCCAAACGTCCAAGTAGAACTCCACCGCTGAGTTGACGCACTCGCTGGGCCCCTTGTGGATCACCATGATGGAAGCAACTGCGTCCTCAGGCTTCTGCACCATCACCAGGATGTTGACCATCTCCGTCTCCAGCTCGGCGTTCACGAAGCAGTAGTCCATGCTAATGACTGGAATCGTCGGCGCCTCCTCTGGGCGAGCCTTCTTGCGACCATCTTCCTTGCCTCGGCCCCAAAGACACCACTTGCACCAGTCCCGATACGGCATGTGCGTCTTCTCGTGGATGGCTATCTCCTCCGCTGTGGGCTTGTACCTCTCCTTCTTGACCTTCGGCAGTCGCGCCTCGTCTGTCTCGATCTCCTCCTCCTGCTCCGCCGGCTGCTGAGCTTGTTCAGGTTCATCGCCTTCTAGAGGGCAGAGCGTGCTCGCGTCCACGCCGAAGCTGTAGATCCCACGCCTCTTCGAGATCCTCAGTGGTCTTTTAATATGGTTGTTCGCGGTCTCGTACTCGATCATCTCCTTGGTCCGCTGGCTGACCTTCGGATTGACCACTGCTCCACCGCCTTCGTCGAACCGTGCACCTTGAGCTCCCTTCGTCAGGTAGCGAACCGCAATGATCGTCTTGCGGACGTCTCGCATATCGAACTGTCCTCGAATTGGTCGTCGAGTCCCAACCACCTGCATTTGTACCGTCTTGCAGCCGTTCGCGTAGATCTTAGTACCATCTGCCTGTCGTAGTGGCGGTGCGCCCGCTTCTTCTCGCGGTATTCTTGGCGCGAAACCAGGTGGGCAAACACTCCGCGCCGCGCATGAATCAACCATCGCCTCGATCTTACCGTCGTTGTCATTCTCGAACTCTATCGGAATCAGGTAGCTCTCGTCATTCTCGTTGAACTTGTGATTGGGCTCCTTCTTGCTATCTAGATTCACAGTGTATTCGTCTACCTCCGTGTGATCTAAACCCGAAATGTGATCTAGCTCCTCAGTCTCGTTCTCCTTCAGCATGAAGATGTAGCCCTCCTCGGCGTCGTAATCGTAACCTAAGCACTTCATGTCTTGATCCTTGGGCTTGTCGGGCGCAGGTGTGTTATTCGCCTTGTCGCTCTTGTCCTTACCCTTGCCTTTGCCCTTGCTGACCTTTCGCAAGTCCTCCTTCGTAATCTTTCCGTCCTTCATGTCCTGTGTGGCCTTCCTGCACTCCATGAGCTTGTGACCTTTCTTGCCGCAATACTTGCAAGGCTGCATCGCGCTCTGGTCATAGCCCTTGCCCTTGTTCTTGTCCTTGCCGTACCTGCCTTTCGAGTCCTTGCCGAACTTGCCGAACGTGAGCGCATCCAGATCCATAGGCGCAGGTCCACTTAGTGCCACCGCCGCCTGCTTCGGCCTCAAGTAGTTCAACACCTCAGCTCGTGCCAACGCGTATGTCGTGAACCTCGTCGCATTCAGCATGAGATGTTCTCGAAGCTTTGACGGCACCAGTCGCGCACTGAGAACAGACTAACGTATCCCAAGACACGATGCCCTTGATCGGATCGTTCTCCCGCGCATTCGGATACAGTGTCGAGTCCAGCATACCTTAGAACCTCGACGGCACCTTCGGCTCGAACTCCAAACACAGCAGTCGCCAGGCCTCCAGGCCTTCTCCTGAGGGAACGCTCTTCACGATGCCCTGAGCCTTGTCCTTACACGTCAGTACCAGGATGTAGTACAGGTTGGTGTTGACTCGCTGGGCCTCTTCGTCTAGATCTTCGTGTGCGAAAGCCTCCGCGTCGACCTTCGCAGCGTCCCGCATCAACTCCGCCATGTGAGGGTCCACCGCCATGCAGTGGGCCGCCAGAACGAAACTCCAGTTCTCCCACGTGACTCCGTCCTTGTACTTCGCATTCTCATCGAGCTCACCTGAGAACTTATCTGGCTTTCCGAGCAGCTTCGTGTCGACGAGTGACTCCGCTCTCTGTTGATATGGTCGGTCGTCTGCTGTTCCTTCTGCTGCTGCTGCTCGCTGGTTCGCATCTCGAAGTTGTTGCTCCAACCTCGCTATCTGATCTCTCTGCTGAACCACGACGCCTTCCATGGCCACGATCCTATTCAGAACCTCCTCCGCTGTTGCCATCGCTGCGCGAGAAACGAGAAACTGGGAGCCTGGCCGTGGGCATGACCAGGCTCCGCTACCATGCGGAATGGCGGAGCCCCTGGATTCCTTTTCTTGAGCCAAACGGTTTCGGTAACAACCATCTCAGCTCGAAACCTGTGAAACCCTGCACCTGCACTGAAATTTGCAAACAGGAAAACGGATCCTGGTGTATACGGGATCCAGGTGTACACAATTTTCGTCGTTTCCCCGGGAAAGGGGGTAACAAGCATACACCACACCGTCCCGACGTCGTCCCCAACCCTCAGAAAGTCCTGGGATGAAAAACAGCCCGCCACTGGTCATGTGCATGCTCCAATCTCCGATGTTGGAACGCCCCACGCGATGGGGTGCCCATGTTTGCGACCGCATGAAAGCAAAACCACCAAAACAACACGAGCGTCCCCAGTCGGAGGTCCGCGCAGGCTTCTCGGGCCGGCGCTGGGAGACCCCCCCTGGCGCGCGAAGCGAGCCGAGTGCGGCGCTGGAGGCGCCACCCGGACGTGGCCAGCGCTCCGCCTCCTCCCTCCTCCTCCTCCTCCTCCTCCTCCTCCTCCTCCTCCTTTTCCTCCTCCTCCTTGCTTTTTGTTGCCCCTTCGGCCGAGCGGCTCCGACCTCCCCGCCCCTCGGCCCCCGATCACGGGCCCCCGACATCACGTTATTTCCGCAAAGTTGGCCACTAGACTTGGGCGCGAATCAAGGGGGGACGATAATAAAGTGGACAGGGGGCGATAACAGTAAGAGCTCGTCCATTGGTGTTTGGTGTGGGAGCATCACGCTTTCCATCGCAAAACCATCGAAACTCAAGAAATCCAAGAAATCCTGGGCACCCTGGAGGCAAGCAGGGTGATTCTCGGTATCCTCCCCCCTCCCTCCTCCTTCGCTCCACCGCCCCTCCGCCGCTCAGGGCGCCCTCTTCTGCTCCGCGGGGCCTCCGCCGCCCCGCGGGGCCTCCGCGGGGCCTCCGCCCGGCTCGGCGGGCTCGCCCCCCAAGGGCCGCAGGTAGCCGCGCTGCCTGCCGAGCCGCTGCCGCGCCGCCCTGCGGGCCGCCTCGTCGCGGCGCGGGGCGCCTGTGGCGAAAGGGGGGGGGGTCCCTCCTCATGCTCCCTCCTCCTCCTGCTCCTCCTGCTCCCTCCTCCTCCTCCTCCTCCTCCTCCTCCTCCTGCTCCTCCTGCTCCCTCCTCCTCCTGCTCCTCCTGCTCCCTCCTCCTCCTCCTCCTGCTCCTCCTCCTCCTCCGCTTCCTCCGCCTCCTCCTCCTCCCTCCTCCTCCCTCCTGCTCCTCCTCCTCCTCCTCCTCCTCTCCTCCTCCTCCTCCTCCTCCTCCTCCTCCCCTCCTCCTCCCCTCCCTCCTCCTCCTCCCTCCTCCGCCTCCTCCGCCTCCTCCGCCTCCGCCTCCCTCCTCCTCCTCCTCCTCCCTCCTCCTCCCTCCTCCTCTCCTCCTTCTCCTCCTTCTCCTCCTTCTCCTCCTTCTCCTCCTTCTCCTCCTTCTCCTCCTTCTCCTCCTCCTCCTTCTCCTCCTTCTCCTCCTTCCTCCTTCTCCTCCTCCTCCCTCCTCCCTCTCCTCTCCTCCCTCCTCTCTCCTCTCTCCTCCCCTCCTCCTCCTCCTCCTCCTCCTCCTCCTCCTCCTCCTCCTCCTCCTCCTCCTCCTCCTCCTCCTCCTCCTCCTCCTCCTCCTCCTCCGCCTCCTCCTGCGCCTGCTCCTTCCTGGGGCTCCCTGATGCGAGGGGGGGCTCCCCGAGCCGCTCTTCGACGCCCCCTCCCCCCCTGGCCAGCTCAGAACTCCGCACCCCGACCTCGACAAGCCAGGGCAGCATGCCTCGTGGGCCCTGCCCCCCCCCCCCCCCCCGCGCAGGCCTTCCAAGGGCCCCGCCCCCGGCGGAGCCTCGCTTCCCCCCCCCTTCTTGTGCAGTCGGAACTCGGCCAGCGCATCCTTTTTTCTCAGAACACGAGGTCCTCCGTCGGCCGAGGCAGACAGAACATCCAAGGGTACCCTTCCCAAGGTGCCCCCACAAACTCGAGCCTCGAAAACACGGGGAGGTCGACGGAACAGCGCCGCAGCCCGCCTGCTCCGCCCCGACTCCAGGTCCGCCGTGCTCACAAATTGTCGGGAAGGTACCCCGAACGATCTTTTAAGTTGTGTCAGGAATCGACGCCGACAGGTGCGAAAAAGTTGGGCGGACAGGCCCGCCTCGTAAAAAAAGCAGGGCGGATGCTCCCGCCAAGGCACGGCGGAAACAGCGACGGCCAAGCAGGGCGGACATCGACGCCGAAGACGTTCGAAAGGGAGGGCGGACATTTCCGCCCTATACGGCGCGATCGCGAAGTGCCCCCGGGGCGGACGATGGGCGCGAAGGGCGGGCGACAAAAGGGGGGGGGAGAAAGGCGCCTTTCCGGGCCCCACAGGCCCCCCTGTTGGGCCCCACAGGGCTCGAGTTAAACAGTGTTTTCCGTTTTTGGTTTGTTCTCGTCATCCCTATATAGTTCTGTCTTCGCTCCACACTTGCTGCAGAACGAAGTCAAAACGAAAACGGCCCACGAAACTGCCAGAACACCGTGTAGCTCGAGCCCTGTGGGGCCCCAGAGGGCCCCTGGATGGGGCCCTCTAGAGGGTCGTTTTTTCTGCAGCCCTCGCTGCCCCCTCCCTGTGTCGCTCCCCCCATTACAATCGGACCTACAATCAAAAACCCTAATAAGGACGCGCGGTAAGGACGCAAGACCCGTGGAAGCCGAAGCTGGGATTTTTGGGGCGGCGGACGACGAAAACCCCAAGGACGCAAGAGCAAGGACGAGCAAGGACGCAAGGGCACCCTGAGCAAAGTCGCGCGTCCTTATTAGGGTTTTTGACTGTAGGCAAAAAACATCCCTCGAGAACATGAGACCCTCCGTCGGCCCCAGCAAACATAACATCCTTGGGTACTCTCGGCAAGATGGGATGCACAAGAGCATCCAACGAACGCGAAGAACACCACAGCCGAAACTATGATCAAACAACCGTCATCTAAGACATCTGGGCCAGTTCTTCGCAAGTTTCTCGAACGGCCGCCAGAGGCCCGAGTAGCAGCCCGAATTCCACCAGAGGTCGATTGGGGGGTAGGGCTAGAAAGGAGGAGGAGGAGGAGGAGGAGGAGGAGGAGGGGGAGGAGGAGGAGAAGCACAGGAGGAGGAGGAGGAGGAGGAGGAGGAGGAGGAGGAGGAGGACAGGAGGAGGAGGAGGAGGGGGGGAGGGAGCAGGAGGAGGGAGCAGGAGGAGAAGGAGGAGGATGAGGACCAGTGTAAACCCAAGAGTCATCAACGATGTTGGAATAAACCCTCCCTCCAAGCTCTCTTCATAGGCCCCTACAGTGGTCCATTTCCATGGAAGGAAATGCCGCTTTGGAAGACAACCGTTTGAAGACCCTGAAGCATGCCAAAACATTGCTCGGGATTCTAACGCCAAATATCAACCTGACTGTTGCGTCTTGACAATCCTGAATCGTGCCAGAACGCCATTCCTGGGACTTCAACACAGCGAACCAGCATAACTGTTGCACCCGCATAACCCCGAATCCTTTCAAAACACCATTTCTGGCACGCTGACAATGGAAAGCCGTGAAACTCTTGTAAGCCGTGAAACTCTTGTTAAAACGAAAGTGCGCCGCGCTAAGGCGAGAGCCACATTTTGAAAAGGAACCGCCCTCAATCCGTGAGGCTCTTGTAATGTTCTAAAAAATGTGCGCCGCGCTAAGGCGAGAGCCACATTTTGAAAACCACCCGCCCTCAATCCGTGAAATCCTGTAGTTTGTTTGATCTAGTATTCGTTTTTATGGAAGAAAACGAATGTACGCCGCGCTACGGCGAGAGCCACATTTTGAAAAAACACAAAGAAAAACCTCCCTCAATCAATAAAACTCTTGCGAACTCTTGCAACGAATGTACGCCGCGCTGAGGCGAGAGCCACATTTTGAAAAACCACCCGCACTCAACCCGAGAAACTCTTGCAAATGTTGACAACGAATGTGCGCCGCGCAAGGGCGAGAGCCACATTTTGAAAACCACCCGCCCGCAATCCGCGAAGCTCTCGCCATGTTTGGTTGCAAGAAACCATGTGCTCCGCGCTAAAGTGAAAGCCACATGTTGAAAAGGAACCGCCCTCAATCCGTGAAGTTCTTACACTTGCTTTTTTTAAAAAAGATGCGCCGCGCTAAGGCGAGAGCCACATTTTGAAAACGACCCGCCCTCCAGACGTGCAACTGTTGCATCTTTTTTAGCTTCAGATTGACAGATGGTGAGGAAGTCTCAGACGAAACGCCTGGCCCACCCTAAGAACTGGCCTCGGAGTGCGACAGGGAGAAATTATGTATAAGGAAAATGAATGGAGGGGGAGGTGGATGAGGAGGAGGAGGAGGAGGAGGAGGCGGAGGAGGAGGAGGAGGAGGAGGAGGAGGAGAGGAGGAGGAGGAGCAAGAGGAGCAGGAGGAGAAGGAGGAGGAGGAGGAGGAGAGGAAGGAGGAGGAGGAGGAGGCGGAGGAGAAGGAGGAGCAGGAGAGTAAGGAGGAGGAGGAGGAGGAGGAGGAGGAGAGGAGGAGGAGGGAGGAGTGGAGGAGCAGGAGGAGGAGGAGGAGGCAGGAGGAGGGAGCAGGAGGGAGGAGGAGGGAGGGAGGGAGGGAGGGAGGGAGGGAGGGAGGGAGGGAGGGAGGGAGGAGGAGGAGAGGAGGAGGAGGAGGAGGAGGAGGAGGAGGAGGAGGAGGAGGGAGCAGGAGGAGGAGGAGGGAGCAGGAGGAGGAGGAGCGAGAACGACGGGCCTCTCTGGCGCACGACTGTACGCCGGTCCGTTCTTACCCCTCGGCCCGACTGTACGCCGCCCCACCCGGCGCGCCTTCGGCCGCAGCTGCCGGCGGGCCCGCCCCCGCGGGCGGCGCGCCCGCGGAGGCGCCCGGGGCGGCAGCGGGGCCCTCGCCAGGAGGGCGCCGGCGGAAGTGTCCAGACCTCCTCGTCGTCCTCCTCCTCCAGATCTCCTCCTCCTCCTCCTCCTCCTCGTCCTCCTCCTCCTGCTCCGCTTCCTGCTCCTCCTCCTCCTCCTCCTACTCCTCGTCCTGCTCCCTCCTCCTCCTCCTCCTCCTCCTTCTCTTCCTCGCGACCAGTGAAGACGGCAGGAGACGGGCCGCAGAGGTAAGGGCACAAAGGTACCCTCCATTCCATTCCATCAGACCCGCCCCGCAGCCTGCAAGACAGCCCAAATCAGACCCCCCCCAATCAGACCCCCCCCTTTATTACGGAATGTAGAGTACCGTAAATGAAGGCGCGCGTCCTTACTAGGCGCGTTGACTGCACTTGTTCGGGAGCAGCAATCGTCGAGAAAGCAGCGGCCGCTCGGGCAGCTTTCCTTCGGCGCTGCAGAGCGGACCACGGCCGCCGCTCGCGCGGCGCCGTGTGCTTGTGCGTACTAGATGTGGGCCGGCTCTGTGCAGGCGGCCGGCAGCCGCGCGGCCCCTGGCGCAGGGCGCGTCTCGCGCGCCGCGTGCTTCGATGCAGAATTGGTCGGGCCGCGCTTCTTCTTCTTCTTACGATTAGTATTGTTATTATTATGTTTCTTCTTCCTCTGGTTATGATTGATAGTATTTGTTTTATGTGTTATTCTTCTTCTTCTTCTCGAGATTACTATGAGTAGTGATATGAGCATTATCATTATTATTCGTATTACCGTTGTTATTGTTAATATAAGTGCTACTAATATTAATATTAATAGTAATGGTCGTAGTAGTCGTGTTACTATTAGTATCGTTAGTCTTTTTATGTTTGCTATAAGTGTTCTGATTTTCTTACCATTGATAGTAGTAATATTATCGTTAGTTTTGCTCGTCTTGGCAAAATTAGCCAGGGCCACCGGGCGCGCGACGGCGTTGCCCCCTCGCGCACGCAGGGGCAAGGCCGCTGCCAACGCAGAGAACCTGAAGCAGTCCGCATCGGAGACGGCCGAAGGCCGCCGCGCGCGCAGCGGCCGCGGCCTTTCGGCGAAGTGCGCCCGTCCCCGCAGAATGGGCCAGGGCCGCCGCGCGCGCGGCGGCCCGTCGCGCGCGCTGGGGGCCGCGCCCGCCTGTCTCTCCATCCAGAGTGGGCCAGGGCTGCCGCGCGCGCTGAGGCGCGGCTCCACGCAGTGCGTTTTCCCACGCGACCGCCGCGCGCACGGCGGCCCCTGTCCTTCACGCGCACGCGTGCTTTTCTTTTCCCGTGCGGAAGCTGCTGGGGCCGCCCCACGCGCGGGGGCCCTTGCTCCGCGCACGTGGCGCATGTCGATGCAGAGTGGGCCAGGGCCGCCGCGCGACCGGCGAGAGTGGCCCCGCGCGCACGGCGCTTTGCCGAGCAGAACGGGCCAGGGCCCCCGCGCCAGGTGCACCAGGCGCGCCAACCGCGCCAGGTGCCAGTGGGATCAGGTCCGTCGGGTGCGCCCAGTGCGCGCCACGCACCATGCTGAAGTGGAGACACGCGACCTGCAATGTTTCGGAATCAGAATTCCCAGTGGTGCTTACGAGCGCTGGGCTGCACCAAACATGGCCTCGAGGTTGGCGCGTTATTGCGCCACGTTCGACCAAGCCCAAAGCTGCCGCATGCAACTATCCGCAGGTCGTACTTTGACAGTCGCGAGGCCCGGCGAGGGACCCCAGAGGCCTGGAACGGCCAGGAACCTCCCGTCGCAGTTTTTTCGCGCGGAGGCCCTGACTTTATGTTGCCCCCATCGTACTTAAGGACCACATCTCAGAAATAACTTCGAGCACTCGAAAAAGTGCCGAAAGAGTGTCGACACAATGTCGAAACAGTGTCGGACGAGTGCCTCCCAGGGCCCGACACGTGAAAACCCTCGAGTTTCGGTTTTTTGCTGGTGCTCGAAATTCTTTCTGGTGATCACGGCTAAAGCAAATTGGAACATCATAACCCTGACTTCGAATCCGCCGCACTTCGGGCACGTTCGTGAGTAGGCCGGAAATTCCCGCCCTACTTTCAAGCTCCTATGATGCCGATTTCCGCCCTACCTTGCCACCGCTGTCTCCGCCATGCTCTTGAGGTAATAGCCGTCTTACCTTCCCGAGGCGCAAACATCCGCCCTCCTTATCCACACCGTTTGGGGTACATCCCCGACACAGTGTACGGCGGATGCGGAAATACGGAGTCAGGGGAGGCAGTGGGGGTATGCATCCTATATTTGTCTTGACTACCAGGACATGTCGATCGGAAGATGTGAGAAATCGGCCAGGGTGACTTCTTCGCTGTGCTAGCATACGGGGATAGTTTGAATTGAGGGCGAAAAGGGCCGGGAGTGAGTTCCCCCTGGCGAATTTACTTACAAAGCGCTAGGCTCCCACTCTGATCATATACTGCTCATTGGACAAGAGAGAACCCTGGAAAGCCCTCCCACCCAGCCGGGCCGAGAGAGGTTACTGCCAGGAGTCCACGGGGAAAAGGGGGACCCGCTCGGCGTCGCCGCAGTCGCTCGTGCCCATGAAGAATAACCTTGCCGTCGCTCGGACGTCCATTTCCCGTGCATTGTTCGGTTTCGTGCGTGCTTTTTTTGCTCGATGGTCCAGGATGGTCCTCAAGGGTCCTCGCCGAGGAAAAACTAGGGCTCCCAACTTCGCGCTTCGCGCTCCGCGAAGCGCGCAGCGCGAATAACTTCGCGCTCTCGCGCCGCCCCCCCACAGGGAGAAAAGGAGGACGAGGAGGAGATGGAGCAGGAACGAGGACCGCGAAGCGCGAAGCGCGACTGACTTCGCGCCCTCGTGGGAGCCCTTGGAAAAAATACACACGTCCGAGCGATGCCAGGTAACGTTCGCGGCGGGCAGGCGCGCTTGGCGCCCTCTCCCGGCCTCCTCGCCCTCGCTCGCCGCCCCGCTCGCGGCGGCGAGCGGCTCGCCGCCGTCGCTCGCCGCCGTGCTCGCCGCCGTGCTCGCGGCGGCGAAGCCTGGGCGCCCGGGGGGGCCGAAGACTCGGCGGCTCGGGCGGCGACGGGAGGAGCGCGCGCGCGCCGTGGGGCACGCGAGGCCGTCTCCTCCTCCTCGCTCCTCCTCCTCCTCCTCCTCCTCCTCCTCCTCCTCCTCCTCCTCCTCCTCCTCCCCCTCCTCCTCCTCCCCCTCGAGGATTAGGGGGCCACACGCGAACCCTACCCCTACCCCCCCACGATTTCTGAGGGGGAGGGTTAGGGTTCCCCTTGCTCGGGAGCTCCCGAGCGAAGCGAGCCCCGCCCTCCCCCTCAGAAATCGTGGGGGGTAGGGGTAGGGCTCGCGTGTGGCCCCCTGAGGATGTTGCGAACGCTGGGGGGGTTGCGCTCCGTTCACAACTTGTCGGCCTTCGGCCAAACCAAAACGAGAAATCAGAAACGGCAGCCCGAAACAGAACGACACGACAAAATACGGAAAGAGGGGGACCCTGGGGCCCGACGTCGCGACAACAGTACAGCATCGTGAGGGACCACGACTGGAGCCCTCGACCCCATCTTTCTGCGGCATCTCTCGGGCAGGATCGATCCGTGAGGTCCTGGAGGGTGGAAAAAGAAAGCGAAATCGCCTGGTGCAAGACAAAACGATGCCAGGGCCTCAGGGGAGGAGGATCGAGGATCGAGTCTCCAGGAGGAGGAGGAGGAGGAGGAGGAGGAGGAGGAGGAGGATCGGGAAAAGAACCCCATCGGGTGTGCCCAGGACTTCGACGTCGTCACTCGCAACTTGCATCAACGTCGACCCCCAGCAGTCTGTACGTCCTCCCCGGGGCCAGCGCTTCGTCCCGGGCCGCTCCTCGACGGCCACGGGGCTCCGTGAGGGCCCCCAGCTGCCGAGAGCAGCCAGCAGCACTCCCGTCGTGACCTGCTGCTGGCGCGAGGGCGGCCGGCTCGGGAGCCTGGGCCTGCGGTGGCAGACCGCGCGGCGACCTCGAACTCCACCAAAAAAGGCCCCACCGCCAGGCCCGCCACCGCCACGCTCTGGGACCCCAGAGGCCTGTTTCTTTCCCAGGGTCTAGTGGGACCTGGTTTACAGATCTGTACTGGGGGACGCCCCCCCCGCTCCGTTCCACTGACCGGAACTGCCGTCACCCGAAAAACACCAGCGACGGCAGACCTGGTTTAGCGATTCTGGTCAATCTAGGGGCTCCGGGGACCTACTACTAAGCGGTTCCCCGTACCCGGGGTCCTGGCCATACCCGATTTTCCTTTCCCAGGGCATGGAAGGCGCGAGTAAAACAGATTCGAAGCAAACGGGGCACCAATTGGTGCGAGCTCGGCAGGCCGTCGCCTCTCTCTCTCTCTCTCGCCATCCAAAGTGGTCCGAGACGTCCTCGGAGACCGACCCGAGCCCCAGGACCGCGCGGCCCCCACGCGGACCCCCCCCCCGACCCATCACACGGCGCAGCCACCGCACCGCTCGAGGGCCCCCCCCCCCGAGAGGTTCGGGCACACCGCGCTCGCCGCCGGGCAGCCGCAGCGGCGGCGCCGCGGCGCCGGCGCCCGTCGCTGCGGCCACCGACTCGCGCAGGGCGCGCTCCCACTTCTGCGCCCTCCTGGCGCGGCCGGGGCCGCGGTAACCGGGCCTCGAGCCAGAGCTCTCCGACGAAATGTGTTATTTCCAAGCCGCGCGGGTGTCTCCTCGCTTCTGGCCCTCGGGAAGCCATCATCATCATCATCATCATCATCATCATCATCATCATCATCATCATCATCATCATCATCATCATCATCATCATCATCATCATCATCATCATCATCGTCATCATCGTCATCGTCATCGTCATCATCATCATCATCATCATCATCATCATCATCATCATCATCATCATCATCATCGTCATCCTCATCATCGTCATCCTCATCATCAGCATCATCATCATATCATCATCATCCATCATCATCGTCATCAGATCATCATCATCACCACCACCACCATCATCATCATCATCATCATCATCATCATCATCATCATCATCATCATCATCATCATCATCATCATCATCATCATGAGCTTCATCATCAGCATGCTCATCCTCATCCTCATCCTCATCCTCATCCACATCCTCAACCTCATCCTCATCTTCATTTCTGGCCCTCGGGGGTCACGTATCTGGGCCTGGGGCCGTCAACAGCGAATCAGGGGCGCAGAACTGCCCCTCGGTAAGGTGGACTGGGGCCTCTGTGGCCGCGGATTGGAACACGATCGGCCCGCGAACCCAGAAGGGAATCTAAAAATGCGAGGCATGGAAGCGTGATCAAGACGCCTGCCTGGGCGACGAACATGTGCAGAGCTGAAGGCATCAATGGTGGCATGGACACGCGAAAACACATGCCTGAGGTACAGACGCCAAAGGAATGCTAGATACCCCCTCCGAGCACGCATTCCTACGTGCGGGAGGCCCGACGACCTCATGTAAGATATAGCCTCTGGGTGGCCCGGCCACGTGAAACCACGTGCACAGTGAACGGGCGCTAGACGCATGTTAGATACCCCCTCCGCGCACGTATCTCCACGTGCGAGGAGCCCGACGACCTCATGGCAGACATTCGCCTGGGCGACCTGGACACGTGAAAGCAAGCGTTTCGCTCGATGCATCCTCAACAGATCGTCATGTTAGACATCCGCCTGGGCGACACAGACACCCGAAAACAAGCGCGTCGCCCGAGACATCCTCAACAAATCCTCACGTCCGATATCCGCCTGGGCGACCTGAGGTGCTTCTTCAAAACAGGCGTTTCGCTCGAGACAACCTCGGCAATTCTGCGCGCAGGACGCTTCAGCCTCGCGCAGGCACTCACAAATCACATGTACTGTCGCATTTTCTTGCTCATATCATTCAAACTCCAACGCACCCCTCACAAGAAGTCTGCGCAAAACGCTCCGCACTCTATGTTATCAAAAAACGGGGGTCTGCGGACCCTGCTATTTCACCCCGCCTCTTATCGAGACCGATTCCGCCGGCCCTCCCCCAACATGGCACCGGGGAAAGTCTACAAGCTGACAGAAAACCCTGGGCCGACGCCCTTTCTGGGCAAAGCTACCCGATTCTGCATACACCCTGCGAAATGCTTAAGAAATCATGGGTTAAGAAACTCAGAGTCTCAGAATTTGAATAAAAACCCAGAACTTCTATTAAAATCTTAGGATTTACATGGAAACGTTAAGGATAATCGAGACTCTCGCCGAAAACTTAGGTTTTCTTAAGCATCGCCTAAGGTGTACATCATGCTGGATGGAGGCCCCCCCCCGTGCACCCAGACAGCCGACGGTCTTATCCTTCCACCCGCGGCCGCAGAGGCCCCGGCACCATCCCCCCCCCGGCGGGGGTAACGTTCTTCGCCGCGGATCCAGCTTCGATGGCCCCAGGGCTTCGGTTGGGCACGTCCTCCTACAGGCGGATCTTGGAAGGAAAATGAAGCATGGTCAAAAGATATGCAAAACTGAGTGAAGCATGATCGACCCACGAACCCGGGAAGGAGTGTAGAAATGTAACGCGTGGCAGCGTTTTCAAAGACACCTGATTGCGCGACGGGCAAATGCAATGCTGAGTGTATCGATCTTGATGTACCCTGCCGAGGGCTGTGCTGTGTTGCACCGTGCTGAATTCCGATGTACCATGCCGCGATTGTGCTCTATAGCGTCGTGGATCGAGTCCTCCTTTGCATCCGAGTCCTGACAGAACTGATCTGGATCTTAAGCTCGAGCTGCCTGAGCACATACTCCACATAGTGACATAGTAGATGCCCCAGAGCTAATTGGCAAGGGAACATGCCAGGAAGACGCGCCGCGGAACGTTCCAAGGGACGCGCCAGGTGACGTGCGAGGGGTCGTGCCGTGGGGACGCACCGCGGGACGTGCCAAGGGGACACGCTACAGAACGTGCCAATGGACGTGCCACGGGGCGTGCCAAGGGCCAAGGAACGCGCCGCGCGACGTGCCAGGGGGACTCGCCACAGGACGCGCCACGGAACGTGCCAAGGAACGTGCCAGGTTGCAATGCTGAGTGAGTGTATCGATCTTGATGTACCGTACCGAGGGCTATGCTGTGATGCGCCGTGCTGAACTGTGATGTGCCATGCCGCGATTGTGCTCTATAATGTTGTGGATCGAGTCCTCCGTTGCATACGAGTCCTGACAGAACTGATCTGGATTTTAAGCTCGAGCTGCCTGAGCACATAGTCCACATAGTAGATGCCCCAGAGCTAATTGACAGGGGAACTTGCCAGGAAGACGCGCCGCGGAACGTTCCAAGGGACGCGCCAGGTGACGTGCGAGGGGTCGTGCCATGGGGACGCACCGCGGGACGTGCCAAGGGGACGCGCTACAGAACGTGCCAATGGACGTGCCACGGGACGTGCCAAGGGCCAAGGAACGCGCCGCGCGACGTGCCAGGGGGACTCGCCACAGGACGCGCCACAGAACGTGCCAAGGAACGTGCCAGGTTGCAATGCTGAGTGAGTGTATCGATCTTGATGTACCGTACCGAGGGCTATGCTGTGCTGCGCCGTGCTGAACTGTGATGTGCCATGCCGCGATTGTGCTCTATAATGTTGTGGATCGAGTCCTCCGTTGCATACGAGTCCTGACAGAACTGATCTGGATTTTAAGCTCGAGCTGCCTGAGCACATAGTCCACATAGTAGATGCCCCAGAGCTAATTGACAGGGGAACTTGCCAGGAAGACGCGCCGCGGAACGTTCCAAGGGACGCGCCAGGCGACGTGCCAGGGGACGTGCCACGGGGACGCACCACGACAAGTAAAAACACGTGGTGCCAGCTCGGGGCAACCATGTTAGATACCCCCCTGGGTGGCCTGGACACGTAAAAACATGTGGTTCCAGCTCGGGACAATCATGTTAGAGATCTCCCTGGGTGGCTGAGCATGAAAAAACATGTGGTTCCAGCTCGGGACTGTCATGTTAGATACCCCCCTGCGTGGCCTGGATACGCTAAATTCGCGCTCCCGCTCGAGACATCCTCGCAGTGTCTTCCCTGGAGTGGCCCCCAAAGCGACCCCCCCTGTGCAGAGCAAGAAAACATAACTTTTCTGTATTGGGACATGTGTTCGGGTAGCGCTTTCCGGCCCCCCGTGCGTTTCCTCATAATTTGGCGTTGGGCCCGACGCCATGTTGGATACCCCCCTGGGCGGCCTGGACACGTTGTTCCAGTTCCAGTTCGGGACAATCATGTTAGATACCCGACTGGGTGGCCTGGACACGTAAAAACACATGGTGACAGCTCTGGGCAACCATGTTAGATACACCCCTGGGTGGCCTGGACACGTTAAAACACGTGGTGCCAGCTCGGGACAATCATGTTACATACCCCCCTGGGCGGCCTGGACATGTAAAAACACATGGTGCCAGCTCTGGGCAACCATATTAGATACACCCCTGGGTGGCCTGGACAGGTTGAAACACGTGGTCCTTGCTCGGGACAGCCATGTTAGATGCCCCCTGGGTGGCCTGGACATGTAAAAACACGTGGTGCCAGCTCGGGACAACCATGTTAGATACACCCCTGAATGGCCTGGACACGTTAAAACACGTGGTCCTTGCTCGGGGCAATCATGTTGGATACCCCACTGGGTGGCCAGAACATGTGAAAACACGTGGTTCCAGCTCGGGAGAAGCATGTTAGATACCCCCCTGCGTGGCCTGGATACGCTGAATTCGCGCTCCCGCTCGAGACATCCTTGCATTGTCTTCCCTGGAGAGGCCCCCAAAGCGCCACCCCCTGTCCAGAGGAAGAAAACATCACTGGGATATGAGTTCGAGTAGCGCTTTTCGGCCCCCCGTGCGTTTCCTCATAATTCGGCGTTGGGCCCGACGCCATGTTGGATATCCCCCCTGGGCGGCCTGGACACATAAAAACACGCGGTTCCAGTTCGGGACAATCATGTTAGATACCCGACTGGGTGGCCTGGACACGTAAAAACACATGGTGCCAGCTCTGGGCAACCATGTTAGATACCTCCCCCTGGTGGCCTGGACAATTGAAAACACACAGTTCCAGCGCAGAACCACCATGTTAGATACTCCTCCTGGGTGGCCTGAACATGTTAAAACACGAGGTTCCAGCACGGGACCGCCATGTTAACAAAACCCAATCAGGGCTATAGGGCTAGGGGGCTGTACGGCTGTAGGGCTATTGAGCTATCGGGCTATAGAGCTATAGGGCTATAGAGTTGTAGGGCTATTGGGCTATTGGGCTATAGGGCTATAGGGCTATAAGGCTTAGGGCTATAGGGCACCCCCGGGCACCCCGGCACCCCGGGCACGCCCGGGCACGCCCGGGCACCCGGGCACCCGGGCACCCGGGCACCTGGGCAACCCAGGGCACCCTCCAGGCACCCGGGCCCTGGGCACCCCCGGGCACCCGGGCACCCGGGCGTGCAGCGAAAATCGGCGGCACACCTAACCTAACCATCTGAATCCGCCAGGACCCCTACCGAGGCAAGCCCAGCTCGGGACCACCATGTTGAATACACCGCTGGGTGGGCTGGACACGTGAAAACACGCGATTCCAGCTCAGGACCACCATGTTAGATACCCCCCCAGAGATCCGACGTCGTGATTTTTTCAATACGGGGCCCCCGGAGGTCTCGACCCGTTCCCCGGGACCGGTTTTTCATCCTGAGTCGTTTTTTGACGGTCCCGGGGCCCGGCGAGGGCCCTTTGGGGCCGAAACTTGCGAAAAACCTCCGTCTTGATTTTTTCAATACGTTGGATCTCTGGGTACCCCCCTGATGGCCTGCACACGTAAAAAATCACGGTTCCAGCCCACCCAGGGGGGATATCCAACATGCGGTCGCCTGAGGCGCCAGCGACGGACAACCATGTTGGATACCCCCCCGTGGCCGACCCGGGCACGCGATAACAAGCATTCCGCCTGAGACATCCTCGGAATTCTGCCCCCCCACGAGGCCCCCGCTCGTGACATCCCCCAACTCTGCGAAACCAGCGTTTCGCTCGCCACATCAACAAATGCTGAAGCGTATCGCTCGAGACATCCTCAAGCATAATTCCGCTGGCCCTTCCCGACATCGATACTCATCGCGAGTAATTCCGCCGGCCCTTCCCCAACATGGCAGACGTGGGAGTACAAACTCAAAGAGAACCCTGGGCCCCAGCCCTTTCCGAGAAAAAAAACAAACATCGTCCCCAGACTATGTTTTGACCGTTTCTGAATTAGAGAACGTCAATTTAGCACAGGGACCCTAATTAGAGAACAGCCTCCTGAGACGCCTCGTCAGGGACTGAGACTTCAAAAATAACAAAAATTATCCTCCTGTAGAGGGACGTGCCCGACTTCACCCAAGGCCCGAGAGCGGCCCCCAGACATCGAGGAGGAGCCGCCAGGGTTTAAACATCGGATTTTTAATATATGCTTAACTTATGAATAAATTAATGCATAAGCTCATCCGTGTATTTATTAATCAACCCTTTATTTTTGATACATGGTCCGCACGCGGAGCATTTATTAAAAACGGCACTGTATATCGTACACTCCAGCGTTCCCTCCCGAGCCCGTTCGGCGTCCGAGCCCATTCGGCCGCTGGATGGGCCGCCGAACGGGCGCAACGCTGTCACAGGGTGGCGCGAAGCTGGCCCGCTCGGCAGCCGAGTGGATCCAGTCCCGTGCTCCGTCGTCGGCCGAATGAGGTCATGAGCATCGTCTCGTCGATCCCCATCCCCGGCGGCGTGGCCTGGGCCCCACCGGCCGATTTGACCCCCTAGATGGGGATATAGGCTGTTCTCTTCGGGTTTCGAGGGATGTATCCCCAACTGGAGTGGTAATTTGGTGGGGGTCTCGAAGGGTATGAGGATGGGGATGGGGGTAGGAGACGCCGAGCAGGGAACCCTGGGGTAGACGATTGCCAGCACAAATGTTTCGTGGGAGCCCGGGACTCTTGCGAGTTCTCCGCGGGAGGCAAGGTACCGCGGGTTCACGTCGTGTCGACCCCAGCGTTGGCTCCTGACATTGCGGGAGTCGTTCACCCTTGAACGATCGGCCGCTTCCAAAACATCCGATCGCTCAACATCGACCGATTCTGGATCGCTGGCGGCGTTCACCGTTGAACGCCGGCGGCGGGGTCGTTGTCGGCCGACACGACGCGAACTTACCGTGCGCCAGGAGTCCTGCAGTTCCCACGTTCCCAAAGCCAGAATCGAGCTCGCAGCTGGGGCCGGGGCTGGGTCCTCCTCCTCCTCCCTCCTCCTCCTTCTCCTCCTCCGTCTCTTCCTCCTCCTCCTCCTCCTCCTCCTCCTCCTCCTCCTCCTCCTCTCCTCCTCCTCCTCCTCCTCCTCCTCCTCCTCCTCCTCCTCCTCCTCCTCCTCCTCTCCCTCCTCCTATCCTCCTCCTCGGGGCTGGGCTCCTCGCAGCCTCCTCAGCCGCGTGAGCCTCGGCTGCCGCGATCAGGTCGGCCGCCGTCGCCCCAGCCGCCGCCCCTGGCGCTGGTGCGCCGCGCGCGCCCCTGGCGGGTCGGAGCGCACCGCGTGGGAGGACGTGCCAACGGTGGGCGGGGGCGCAGGCTTCTGGGGGGCCTCTGAGAGGCTCCTCCCCCTCCCTCCTCCTCCCCCTCCTCCTCCTCCTCCTCCTCCTCCTCCTCCTCCTCCTCCTCCTCCTCCTCCTCCTCTGCTCCACTGGCCGTGCTCTCCTTCACGGTCGGGCGTTCCATGCTGTGTTCTGCTCCACAGGCGTGAGGCGCCTCGTTCTCCGTCTTCGCAGTTCCCGAAGAGTTGCCAACCCAGACATTCGACGTCTCGATTTGTTCGAGACACGGGCCCCCGACCTCCCGACCACTTCCTCAGGACCGGTTTTTCGTCCCGAGTCGAGGCCGAAAAAGACGAAAAACCTCCGTCTCGAATGTTTCGAGACGCCCGATGTCTGGGAATCGCCCGCTCTTCTGCCCACGTATCCTTCCGGACGCTCGGCTCCGTGGCTAGGGTCCGCCCTGAGGCGTTAAGAACCCATGGGTCTTCACGCTTGTCCCGCCCTGGGGCGTGAGAAACCATGTGCGCTTGTCCAGCCCTGGGGCGTTAAGAACCCATGGGTCTTCACGCTTGTCCCGCCCTGGGGCGTGAGAAACCATGTGCGCTTGTCCCGCCATGGGGCGTTTGGAATCCATGGGTCTTCACGCTGGTCCCGCCCTGGGGCGTGAGATACCCATGCGTTTTCACGCTTGTCCTGTCCTGGGGCGTTAGGAACCCACGTGCTTCCACGCTCGTCCCGCCCGGGGGCGTGAGGAACCCACATGGCTTCACGCTCGTCCCGCCCGGGGGGGGGGCGTTAAGAACCCACGTGTTGTCATGCTCGTCCCGCCCTGGGGCGTCAGGAACCCACGTGTGTTCGCCATTGTCCCGCCCTGGAGCGTTAGGTACTCGTGTGTTTTCACGCTTGTCCTGCGCTGGGACGCCAGGAACCCACGCGGCTTCACGTTTCTCCCGCTCTGGGGCGAGACAGACCCGCGTGTCTTCACGCTTCTTCCTCTCCGGGGTGAAAGGGGGCCCGCGTGCTTTCGCGCCTGCCCCGCTCTGGGGCGTGCGGAGCCCGCGTGCTCCCGCGCTTCTCCTCCCGCCCCGGGGGGCGAAACAGGCCAACACGTGTTTTCGCGCGTCTGGCGCCCCTGGGGGGCGAGAAGGACCCCGCGCGTGTTCACGCTCTTCTTCCGCTCCGGGGCGGCGAGGCCCACGCGTGTGCGCGCGCTTCTTCCGCCCCTGGGCCCGAAAGGGGCCCAGGTGCCGTCACGCGCCTGCGGCTCTCAGGGGCGAAGGGGGCCCGCGAGCCGTCCCGCCCTCCCCCGCCCGGGGAGCGCAGGCAGCCCGCGCGCCGAGCACGCGCCTCCGCACGCCCCCGAGGCCCCGCGGGCATCCCCTGTGGCGCGGGAGCCCCCCGTCGGGATCCGCACAGCGAGGCGCTTCTCGCGAGGCATCCTCGAGCGTTTGCTTCGCGCAGGGCGCGCGCCCGCCTCGAGCGGGCCCGCAAGAGATCCACGTGTGCCAATTTTCTGCCAGATTCTATAGCCTCCAAGCATCGAGACATATCACAGATTCTGCGCAAAACGGTCTGCAACCTTCTTCGACCTAGGAAAGCGAGTTTTCTGCGGACTCAATCATGTAAAGAGGACGGGGATGGGGGGCACGCACGCTTTCCTCGAGCGGGCACTCGCAAAACGCTTTTCCTTTCAACAACATGATCGACCGACGAACCCGGACAGTAATAGAAACACGGGGCATGGCTAGTTTTCAAGACACCTGCTTGGGCGGCAGACAATTGCAATGCTGAAGGTATCGATCGTGATGTACCGTGCCAGATATTGTGCTGTTCTGTGCCATGCTGAAATGCGTTGTATCATGCCGCGATGTATTGCGTTGTGTACCATAGTGTTGTGGATCAAGTCGCCCTTGGCATCCGAATCCTGACCGAACCGATCTGGATCTCAAGCTCAGGCTGCTTCAACGCATAGCTGGCCCAGAGCTGGTTGCAATCGGGACGTGTGGGACGCCCAGTCAGCTCGAGCTCAAGATCCGATTCAGCTCCGAAGCGGGACGAGACGGCACGGGGCGCAGGGCGCATGAACGAGCCGCGGAATGTGCCAGGGGCGCGCTAGGGGATGCACCAAGGGACGTGTCAGGGGACGCGGCGAGGGACGCGCCACGGAACGGGCAGGGAACGCGTCAGGGGACGAGCCACAGCACGCGCCGAGGGGGGATGGGTATACGCCGCCCCGCTCTGGGGCATTAGGAACCCATGTGTGTTCACGCTTGTCCAGCTCTGGGGCATTAGGACCCATGTGATTTCACGCTTGTCCCGCTCTGGGGCGTTAGGAACCCACATGTTGTCATGCTTGTCCCCCCCTGGGGCGTTAGGAACCCACGTGTTTTCACGCTTGTCCCGTTCTGGGGCGCTACATAAGAACCCATGTGTTTTCACGCTTGTCCCGCTCTGGGGCGTTAGGAACTCGTGAGTTGTCACGCTTGCCCCGCTCTGGGGCGTTAGGAACCCACGTGTTCTCACGTTTGTCCCGCTCTGAGGCGTTAGGAACTGATATGTTTTCACGCTTGTCCCGCGCTGGATAAGCAAAGCCGACGGTGCGACGGCTAACGCTTTTTGAAAATTAACCAGAACGGAGATTAAGACAAATGGGATCCCCTCATGGCAGATCGATGGGCAGACATGGCCGCCCGCTCGCTCGCCCGCACGCCCGCGGATGCCGCATGGGGACGGGGCGGGGGAGCGGTGGGCGGGTGGGCGGGCGGGGAAATATGATGCTCAACGCGAATCGCAGTCCGCAGTTGTGTTGGTCCGCAGAGGGTGGGTGGGTGTCGGAAACAATGCCGCCGGCAAATGCCGAAACGCATTCCCCAAGTTTCTGGCTCCGCGGAGGGAGGGTGGGTGGTGGGAAAAAAAACATGTTTCCCTGGGAGGCGCGCCGGCTCTCTAGGGTGGGTGGGTACAAACATGATCGACCCACGAACCCAGAAAAAGAACATAGAAATGTAACGCATGGCAGCGTATTCAAAAACACCTGATTGGGTGACGGGCAAATGCAATGCTGAGTGTATCGATCTTGATGTACCCTGCCGAGGGCTGTGCTGTGTTGCACCGTGCTGAATTCCGATGTACCATGCCGCGATTGTGCTCTGTAGCGTCGTGGATCGAGTCCTCCTTTGCATCCGAGTCCTGACCGAACTGATCTGGATCTTAAGCTCGAGCTGCCTGAACACATAGTAGCTGCCCCAGAGCGAATGGACAGAGGGAACATGCCAGGAGGACGCGCCGCGGAACGTCCCAAGGGACGCGCCAGGCGACGTGCCAGGGGACGTGCCATTGGGTCGCACCGCGGGACGTGCCAAGGGGACGCGCTACGGAACGGGCTAATGAATGTGCCACGGGATGTGCCAGGGGACGCGCCACGCGACGTGCCAGGGGGACTCGCCAAGGGACGCCCCACGGAACGTGCCAAGGAACGTGCCAAGTTGCAATGCTGAGTGTATCGATCTTGATGTACCGTGCCGAAGTCTGTGCTGTGCTGCGCCGTGCTGAATTGCGATGGGCCATGCCGCGATTGTGCTCTATAGCGTTGTGGATCGAGTCCTCCTTTGCATCCGAGTCCTGACCGAACTGATCTGGATCTTAAGCTCGAGAACGCATTGTAGCTGCCCCAGAGCTAATTGACAGGGGGACATGCCAGGAGGACGCGCCGCGGAACGTCTCAAGGGACGCGCCAGGCGACGTGCCAGGGGACGTGCCATGGGGACGCACCGCGGGACGCGCCAAGGGGACGCGCTACGGAATGTGCTGGAGACAAGCGTTTCGCTCGAGACATCCTGTCAAACTCCTGATGCTAGACATCCGCCTGAGCGACCTGGACACGTGAAAACAAGCGTTTCGCTCAACACATCCTCAACACATTCTCATGCTAGACATCTGTCTGGGCGAACTGGACACGTGAAAACAAGTGGTTCGCTTGAGACATCCTCAACACATCTTCATGTGAGACGTCCGCCTGGGTGACCTGGGCACGTGAAAACAAGCGTTTCGCTCGAAACGTTTTCAACACCTCCTCATTCTAGACATCCGCCTGGGCGACCTGTACACGTGAAGCCAAGCGTCTCGCTCGAGACATCCTCAACACATATTCATGTTAGACATCCGCCTGGGTGACCTGGACACGTGAAAACAAGCTTATCGATCGAGACGTTCTCAACACATCCTCATGCTAGGCATCTGCCTGGGCAACCTGAACACGTGCAAACAAGCATCTCGATCGAGACTTCCTCAGCACATCTTCATGCTAGACATCCGCCTGGGCGACGAGGACGCGTGAAACCAAGCGTCTCGCTCGAGACATCCTCAACAAATCCTGGCGCTAGACCTCTGTCTGGGCAACCTGGAGGCGTGAAAACAAGCGTTTCGCTCGAGACGTCTTCAAGACCTGGGCACGTGAAAGGCAAGCATTTCACTTGAGATATACGCGACCTCGTTATTTATCGGAAAAGAAATTTGCCGGCCCATCAGCCGTCAGATCCAGGGGTAAAACCTCTAAAAGAGAACCCTGGGCCTAAGACCTTTCCGGGAAAAACAACATTTGCGAATTTTCTGCAAAATTGTAAAGAATCGAGACATCGTCATTCATCGCTGATTATCCGCAAAACGTTGTGCACCCTTTTTGGTTCACGAAGGAAAACAAGTGTCTGCGAACCGCGTTAATGATTGATGATCCGAAATGGGAAGCGCACTTTCCTCGAGCGGGCACGCGCGAAACGCACTTCTGCAAAACAGAATTGGACTTTGTCACGGTGTTAATCGAGCGGAGATCCGCCGGCACATCCCCAACACCAACATGGCACCAAGGAGGGTTTGCCATCTAAAAGACAAACATGGGCCCGCACCTTGTCTGGGAAAACGACATTTCACCTCGATATCTATCGCGAATAATTCCGCCGGCCCTCTTCGAAGTTGGCACTGGGG